GGGCGAGGGGTTTCAGAAGCCAAACTTGGCCGTCCCCTCTCCCTCTCCCTCCCTCTCTCTGCCCTCCCTCACTCTCACCCTCGCCGTCGCGCGTCCTCCTCTTCGATGAAAACGACCCATCTCAATTTGTAAAAGGGTGGTTGCAGTGGGTGCTCGTTTGACCCCTACCCCTCCCACTTTCACTTGTTTCCCTTTTCCTTTTCTTCCGTCCGGGCTTAGGCAGAGGATTTTCCTAGGCGTCGCCAACGAGAAATAAAAGACCCTCGCGGGGGCGGGAGGGGGGGGGGGAGGTCTGTGCTGGGCGGTCCGCCCGGATGGGGCTTCTCTCCTCCACTTAATAAATGAATTGCCATTTTTCACCAATGATAAAACTACTCCTGCAGAAACTTTTTTGTCGCGCCGTACTTTTTATCCCCTTCTCTTTCCCCTCCGCCGCTCCTGGACGGCTAGGGGCAGATTCAACCCATTTCACATTTTCCCCCTCGGTTCACTTTTTCTTTCGTCCGCTCCGGGCCGGGCATCCGCGTAAGTCGCAGCGAACGGCGGGAACCGAAGGGAAATATAAATTTCAAGAGGGAAAAGAATAGCGTCGGAAAATGGCCAAAGAACAAAAACAGATTCATAATGAAATAACGGAAAGAAAAAAAATAATGTCGGAGACCATCTGTCTCATAGATGGGCGGGGCTCCCTGCCTATTTGTTCCGACAACTCCATTTGATTTAATTAGCGCCGAGCCGAACACTCCGCAGCGCCCGCGCGCAAAGCTGGCCCCGGCCGCCCACGAAACCTGTGGCGGCTAAACCAGAAGATGAAATTAATGTTGTCCCCTGAGAGCGAGGGCCCGTGTGGAACAGAAGCCTGTAAAAAGGTTGTTTTCTTGTCGTTATTTGCAAAACGGATCACGACAAAATTACTACAAATTTAGGACGCACTAACGACAAACAGGCTAATTACTTGCCTGTCGTAGCAATGCGCGTAAAGTTGCCGTTTTTTAGTACCTAAAGGTGGTCCGTTTTACGGCCAGAAAACGACAAATCTATACTCCAAGCGTGTGTGCCAAAACGCAAAACGGTTCGGGAGCAGGCGGGGATCGAACCGCTGACTCACCGGCTTACAGCCGAGCTCCGTACCACTCGGCCACAGTGGACATAGCGTGTTACGTCGTCCGCTCACCTTTCAGTGCGACGCAAAAAGCGGAAGACAAAACGACGAGAAAACGACAAATTTACGGCATGCTGCGCGCGTAGGACTAGAGAGCGAGCGACTCACTGGAAGGTGAGCGGACGACGTAACACGCTATGTCCACTGTGGCCGAGTGGTACGGAGCTCGGCTGTAAGCCGGTGAGTCAGCGGTTCGATCCCCGCCT